TGATTCGGAAAAAGAAAACAATTGTTCTTTTATAAATAAACGTTAAAAAATAATAATTTTGAATCATGGCAGTATGTAGTTTTAAATCAAATTTTAGAAAATACTCACTCATGATTTTAAACCTCTCAAAAAAAGGCTAGAAGAAAGTTTTTAAAAAACGCTATCATACATAATTCTTAAAATGTTTGTTACAAAACAGTAAACCTTTTCTTTCCTCATTAACCTTATAAACTAGTGTAGGAGAATTTCATTATTCGTTCCTTAAAAGTTCTTGAAAAAGTTCATTTTAGATTTCGTACTTCGAGAGTTTGCTTTCTTTTGTTTTGTTTGTAAAACCGCAATTTGAGTTTTTAACAGTAACCCTTAAAAACGAAATGCTTAATAAGATTAAGTGAGGACGAGATTATTCAGGCTTAGATATGAGAAAACTAAAGTTGAATCTCGTTAATTTACTTCGTACTTGGTTTCTAATGTAATTAAATGAATTGGCAAAAGAAAAATTTAAGGCAAAAAATATTTAACCGAAACACATACGTAAAAGATTAATTCTGAGTTTTTGAAGAAGAAGCTAAAATAAAGTATTAATACTTTTGGGATGATATCTAATTTAGAGAAATGCACTAAATTAAATAGCAGGATTAATGCTTCAAAAGTTTTCGTTCAACAATGTACTTGATTTATTCATAAATAACATTATCAATTATTACTTGCTAGGAAAAAGAAATTATATTAGGATAGCAAATTCATTAAGTAAATTCTACCGCTGTGTAGTACAATTTATGTTTGACCTCTTAAAATAAATAGTCAAGAATTAATGAAATGTTTATTTTCAGCTCCAAACCGATTACAATGACACAGTCGAAAGAAGAGAGAAAAATATAATCCTAAGCTAAAGACATCATCGAAAAGCCTTTGATAAGCAAATAAAATCCACAAATTAAACTACAGAGAGCAAGGGCTTATGAAAGAGAAGTATTCTCGAGACTTCTCTTTAAAAATAAACAAACTGAAGTTTCGAAATCTGCACTAAATTCGAAATTTCTTTCAACGAGCATGGCATCCAAAGCCGTTTTTCTTGGATTGATAACAAATCCTACAAAGTGGGCTCAGTTGCTCCTTTGATTTATTTACAAAAGGAGGATGGAAAGATGGGGAATTCCACAGTGTATATGTGTTCGCTTCTCTTAATGCCAGAAATTTCAAACCGAAAACTTTAGAAATTTTCATTAATGAACAAATTTTGCATTAAGTATAGAAAATTACGATTTTTTCCCTTCTATTAAAGCTCTTTACAAGATTCAGACAAATATTAGACAATGATAAGTTTACAAAACATGCATTAACTACACACATAAATGTCCCATGGTCACATAAAAATTAAAAAAAAGCTAAATAGATAAGCACGTAAAATAATACATGAATCTGCAATAAATATATTTTATTCATATAATGTAGCTGCATATACTTAAGCACAAATTCGTTTGCAACGTCAATAAGAAACTGAGAATACACCTTTCTTCTGCAGTTTAAAGAGATGAAAATTGCCGTTGTGTGTAATCCAGTTTCAGTCTCAACGAATGTGACTCATTTTGGACTCCTTCATAATGAATCTTAGCACACTAAACGTTGACCCACTGAATCTTTCGAAGGAGATGAGTTATAAATCTGATGTTTGCGAAACTTGTTCTAAGTTATCGATTTAATCCGTATAAATTGCAAAATCACACTGCGTTGCTCTGTAAACACGTTACTGTCTCTTTAGGTGCGTTTTGCAAATCGCACCATCAAACACGACATTTTTGTGGCATGGCGTATATATGATTTTTCTTGCAGGCATCAGTCGATCCGATTTGGATTTATTTTGAACTTCTTCAATCAAATAGGAATACTGGCCAACTAAATCTTTCAAAAGTAGAGGATAAAAAATCTTGTTTTTGCGAAATTCATTCGAAGTTTCCATTTAACTCGTATGAATCGCACTAAATTACTATACTGTGTAGAAGATACCAACAAACAAATTGTGTAGCATAATTCACGTATATAGTTTCTTTTGAAAGCATCAGTCTGACCAATTTGGATTCATTTTGGATTTTTCCTCGGAACTGGAATATTGTCCCACTGACTTTTAAGGCGATAGATTTGATGCTTGTGAATTTTTAAATTTATCCATATGAATCACACTAAGCTGCTCTGCTTTTCATTTTCAGATGAGAAATCTAAGTACGGCACTTTTGTGCCATTGTTCACGCGGCTAATCCATTTGATTTGGCTGATGGCGTCCAATCAATCGGCCTCACCTTGTATAAATATAAGCTCAAAAGACTTTTGAATAAGCAGTGAATAAAGTAACTTTTGCCATTGCAAAATAAATATTAAGATTATTAATTTATAAGGAAGAATATTTAAAACATGTAATTTGAGTGTATGTTTCGTTATATATATATATATATATATATCCTATAGCTTAATAGAATGAAGTAACCATTATTTTTAGTTCCTGCCTTGTATTTTTCCTGTTAAAATCGACAATCCTGTACATTTACCAATCACTGTTCTTAATTAAATACTGCGATAACAAACAAGCAGTTTATGTGCTTAATTTAATTATAATTATGCTTATAAGTAACCGACTACGCTCGATATCCTAATTTTGAAAAAAGTGTACACATAAATTTATTTCTGTTGTTAATTAGCAGAATGCTACCTAAAATGATAGAAACAGTTTATAAACATATTAATAAAATGTATTTTTTACTTTTTTCTCACATTTTGGATCAAAAATGTATTCAAATTTCAGTATCACGAGATTAGTTCCCTAAACATTATTTATCAATATTTTACTGTTATTTTTTTCACTTATATTTATTAAAGTATAAGGAATAAAATGACCTAAAATCTAAGTCATAAAGCAAAATGTCTATTAAATATACCTGTTTGAGTACATACACTAGCTATTTTTCGAGAATTTTTCTCTCTCTCATTTACAAAATTGTCTGCAAAAATCTTAAATATGTATATAAACCTAACTTTTAGTTCATTTAATTTCCAATATTTTGTAGAATATTTGTGGGAAGTATCATAAAATTGCTATAGTAATATTTTAAGTTACGGTGTTTTTCGTATTAGAAATGTTGACAAAAACAAGTTTTTCAAAAAACAAATTTAATGTTTTATTTTTAGAAAATATATTAGAAATTGATACATTACATTGCTAAAAGTGCCCTGTTTTGTATATTTCACCTTCTGTTAACTCTGTTTTAGAAGATGTTTTTCTTTAAAGAAGCTCTTAAATTTTTTCTTGTGAATTTTGCGGAATGTAAAGAATGTCGTTTTGAATCGAAAATCCGAGTTTTATCAATACAGTTATATCCCTTGATAGTCCATGTTTCATATTAAGTTTCCCAATATTTTTAACATACTCAAAAATCCATTATTAAACTGTATTACTCCTATATAGGAACCAAGACACAATGTTGTCAACTCAACAAACACTTGTTTTGGTATGACACGTTATTAAAACTCTCATTATTTGTTTTGAGTTTCAAACACACTGGACAGGATAATGCAGAAAATACAGATTTTAGAATTTCAACATCGAATATTCTATTACCAGCATCATTTTAAAATTAAAAAAAAAAAGAGAATCTTTAGACTTGACAGTATTAGTGTTGAGAAAAAAGTTACTTAGTTTTTCCAGTTTAAGATTATTTTGCAAAGTCTATTAATGTTTATCAAAGCAAGAAATATGAAAAATGTGCAATGCCATCGCCGGGATTCGAATGCCGAACGCCAGGATGCTAACCGGCCGTGTTTCCAAGTACATCACGAAGTCATGCGGTGAGAAAGGAGAAGATAACTTACAGTTTTGTCTGAATTTCGTTTCAATGTCTTCATTCAAATTGATTTTTGTATAATTCAAAATGTGAGATACATATGCTGTAATCGCGTAGTTTTTCATCCCTCTCCCTTTCATAAAGTAAATTGATTTTTATCCAATTGTACATTTTCTTTACTGGTATTCATAATAATTTACTTTACTATCGAAGAATATCGATGAGTTCATCAGCCTCATGTTACCTGCAACAAACAGAACCACTTTGGTGGTTTCGTATATTATTCTTACGGACATTTTGACGTCCAATATTAATCATTTTACGAATTTGGGTTTAACTTTTATCGCTTTTATCATTCAAGTTTAACTTTTATCGCTCTGAGCCTTATTCAGAAAATCCGTATTATCCTTCCAACTTATTACTCTTCCTCATTTATGTTTCTGTACTAAAATGTTGCTAAATCTGGTGAATCCAATGTCATCATTACCGTAAAGATCGTGGGATATGTGTAAGCGTCATCGAGACCAACGTTGATTTTAGTTCTTGAATATGAACTATTCATGTTGACATTACTAATTTACTATTAATAAGATTCCGTGATTTGCAAAATTAATTTAATTGCATTAAAAGAATCACTACTATGCTTTGTATAATGTATGCATATTCATTACATTACCTAAACGAACATAGCACTGGATCGTGATATCTGATGACAACCTTGTACAAATTCAATCAGTTTCCATCTTAAACTGTAATTTATGCTATTCCGATTGCTTAAACAATGCTGAAATCTTGTTGTCTGGGATGGGCATGATGGATGGCAAGACATACCAAACCCCCCGGGGGGGGGGCAACAAACACGCCTTTTAAATCGAAAGGATTTTGAAGCGGTCACTCCTTGCTGGGAAACGCTTTTGCAGAAGGCAATGAGTGAGAATTCATACCTGCGATGAATTATGGTAGTCGAGTGTTTCCTTTAACTTTGCCTATCTCTACACTTGCTTGTTTAAGTAAAACTATCACATTAAAGATGAGATAAGATACATTGGGTCCAGCAAAAGTAGGAAGAACACTTATGTAATAACTGTGGATCTACATCTAAGATATCCAGTGCTTTCTGAAAGATGATTTATCAGTTGCACTTTAAGAGTATTTTCTTTTCTTTAGATCAAGATAAAAGACTCTTCCGTATTTGGCAACTATCAATGTGTTGTGAGCAATATCATGGGTGAAGCTCAAAGAACCATATCTTTAATTGAAGGAGGTAAGCATGTTATTTCTTTAAAAATAATTTTAAATTCAGCAATTTCAATATTTCTATTTTTCATTCATTTTTGTGTTCCCATTCTTAAGTATTAAATTATTTTGTAACACTACTAAACTCGGAAATTTTAATTAATGAATCTCCACATAATTTTATACTTATCTAAAGTTATTTTTTCATACTTCTGTTTAATTACTATTTTTCATTCTCAAAAATCAACTGCTTTCAACAGATTTTATACCAGATACATAAGGTTTAATGGACTACTTCAGTTTCAAGACTTTGATTGATATAATTTGTTTTCCCGCCTTGAATGTAATTCGAATTTTTTTTTGATAAATATCTGCATTTAAGCATTATAAATATGTATGAAGCAGCCCACATACTTCGAAAAGTACAATATTTTATGTTTAGCAGATTCCCTTATTATGGATTACCATTATTTGTTTGTACAATTATATTACTTTAAAACTATAATCAGCTGGCTAGCTAAATTTCCGATATTGGATCTCAAAAGCTTATGTTTCTTGAATGACATTCGTTTCACTAAGGAATCTGAACTATTTTATCGTAAAAGTAATTAAGTAATGAAATACTTCTACTGAAATTTATTTTTATTATTAACAAATACCGTTTATCATGTCATTTGGTATCTGTTAATAAACGTGTCAGTTTCTTAAGACAGTTTGTAAAAGACAAGAATATATAAATGATCATATAAAAATGGAGTAATATATTAGTATATTTCTGATAAAATGAAACTATACTTAATTTTAATTACATGCGTTTTGCTTAGTTTTCTCAGCTTTCGATTAGATGTGTGGGAAGTTCTGTAGACAAACCAGTCTGTTGAGGCAAACAAACTTCTGAATGTTTTAAATAAAATTCTGAATTTTACATCATTACATGGTCATCTAAAGCACAAGGTATCTTATTTTATTGCTGAGTGAAGTAAATTGATTCTAAGTTTGACATGAGAAACCAGTCTGTTGAGGCAATCAAACTTCTGAATGTTTTAATCAAATCCTGAATTTTACATCATTACATGGACATCTAAAGCATAAGGTACCTTATTACGTTGCTGAGTGAACTGCGAACTTCCATCTTATCCGTAGTATTAACCAAAGAATCTATTTTTCTTCTAACAAGACAGTTTAACTCAGGGTTACAACAATGAAGCATACGTTACCAAAAGTAACAAATTACTAATGGATGTCTCAGGCAGTACATAACATCAATTCGATTTCCAAATGAAAAACCACAGTTATTCTTATCGATATCACAAGGTTATAAAATTTACTTGAGTAATTGTTTTTAAGAAATTTTAGAAGTATGAAAATGAACATTTTCTGCTACGTTCACTTATGACTTACAGTCAATGCACACTGCGCTGTTTATTGTTTTAAATGTGATATTGTGATATACTGGTTTTACAAATGGTAGCATAATTTAGATCTATTGGAAATTAATAATTTCACAGGCAAAATTAAAACTTGTTGGGAAATGCGAAGACGCAAACTAAGGATGATTTTATGACTAATGAGATTAATATGACCACTAATGAAGCTTTAGTGTTTAATGTCCCTCCACTGAGTTTCGGCTTTTACTCGTTGTTCGTGTACCTTCCATTGTCACTTACATCATGATCGGATTGTGATTATTTGGGATACAGTACAGCTTATGAGCCTATGAGGAAAGAGTTCTTCGACGAAAACCCCTTAAGGGAAACTCTCGTATTCATGTTATACATGGAGAAACCCACAAAAATTACCATAAAGAGAGTTCCTTTACCGAATTGTGAGCCCGGATCGAATTAAGAGTGTGCAATGATCTTAACCTTTAGCTCCTGATGATCTTCATTCTTATAAGAACTCGAGGCTGCTATCCTTGTTTACAAATTTAGGTTCTTTGCTTGATGCCTTCTTATGATTTTTAGCTTCATCGCAACGTACCAGTGTATCCCTAGTTACCTCAGCACTGCAAATTTCCCTATCCCTTCTATCCTGCTTGCGATTCTTACGTTGAACTCATATACTTTGTAATGGCAAACAACTGCAAACTTCACTCTCTTGTAGTACATATGAAACAAAAATTCCTCGTACTGTGATACTTTCTGTCTAATTTTTGAAGTGTTTCAGCTAGGTGGTGACATTACATATGCATGGCATAAAATTCAAGATTTAGTGTACTGAAATAATCATCATGGAAATCATGCTTTTACGACGCCGAAACCACGCTTTTACTTCCCATGCGTTAACTAAAAGAAGAACTGCTGTGGCGAAGATAATCAGTTTAGAACATTTCAGCCCATCGCATTCCTAAGAAGTAAATTACTGCATCATTCTTAAGCTTAGTATTTAGATATTCATTTGCAAATATCACTCCATAGTTAATTTTATGCAACTTCATTAAAATTAGATATAATTTGATTATGTTAGAAATATAAATTAGTAAGCCCATTTTGCGCTTGTTTCATTTATCTCGACAATCAGTGGTGCCTTGTGCTGCGTCTATGTGTTGATATGTACTTGATCTTTAATGTACTTGATAAATGTATATATATATATATTTTTAGGTTAAACATAATACATACTATGCGTTCTTACATCTATTATTTTCAGTATTTTTAACTTCTGCTGTGATTTTCTCTTATGAAGTATTTCCTATTTTCTGACTCTCTTTTTTCTTCTTTCTTTTCTTTATTTATCTTTTCCTTTTTCTGAACCTCTTTATTCTGAGTATCATAAAATATTTATATAATATCAGTTCATTTACTATTTGTCTTAGTAAGAGGCTAGTAATATTTACAATTTTGGTAGGTCAAAAACTTTTACAGGGATTTTTGACAGCACAGATTATTACCAGTTCTAATTCTCACATATGTTAAGGGATAATTTTACAGAGTATTAATATTTCCTCCATTTGATTTCACAGTTATACCCTGATTTATTTCACTAAAAGATACATGTGCTTTCAGTTGTTCCAAATCCTCCCGACGTCAGCATTTGGAGCGATGAACCGGGAGTATTGATTTTGAAACTTATGCCATCGCCGGATGATGTGCTTCCTGTGCTTGGATATAGGATACAGTGGCGACTTGTTACGGATAATGTGTGGCGACAAGTCAGATATCATCGAGCAAGTGAAGGTACTGGTGTTCTGGAAAATTATGCTTAGCTCTTCCTTAATTGGCAAAATTGTCTTAAATTAGCAATATTTTCTATTTATTGTTGATCATTTGCATCGTGTTATTTAGTAGATGATAAAATATTTATTAGAAAATTGATTGAATTTTCATATACGTAAATGTACGATACTTTTCATAGCGATTGAGAAACATGTATTTCCCTGTAACTTTCTCTGTAATGAACTGCTAGCAAAATGTTTAAGGTCCGATGTCAGAATGTACGACTCTTCTGTAGGAATTGCATCATCTGCTTATCGTACAAATTATTTTAGTTCTGCTTTGTATTGCTTCTACAGAGCATTATTTGAATATATGTTACAGTTTCGTATCCTTTCGTATATCGGAGAAAATATTAGGTGTAATAATTCAACACGTCTGCGTCGAAGTTGCTGCATTAATATTCAGAGTTGAGTATTTGAAACTAAATTGTAATGACTAACTTTTCTAAGACTTATTAGCCAACAAATATGTCTGAATGCACGAGCAGTTTTTAAAAGTTTTGTTAAAAAGGTTAGAAACAAGTTCGGTTCGAGTCCCGGCTAGGGCAATGCACACTTGTCACCTTTCCTGCTTCAAAAAATGTAATGTCCCTACAGTTGATCTAAAGTTCTGCAATTAAAGTAATATCACCGAAAATAAATAAAATGAGATTCTATCGAAAATTGATTAGTGAATCTAATAGTTGAAATGGATACGACGTACAAAAATGTAAATTAACACTAAAACATTATGTTTTCAGTTTATTCCCAATTATGTAATATATTTTAGTCTTTGTATAAAAAATTGTATTCCTCAAAAATTCATTTAGCTAGCAAACCACAGACAGTATTTATTGTATTTCAATAAGTAATAAATTTTTAAGCACTAAGAGATAATAGCTTTCACCAACAGATAAGGAACTACATATTTAATAATGTTATAACTCTGTGCTGAAACTGATTTTGAAAGTTAATATGCATTTTCAGTCCCTGAAAATTTCACTGGGCCTAATTATATAACTATGTACCATTTCTCATAAAATCATGTTGTAAAGTAATTTACATATCTGAAATTAGCAAAATGAATTCAGATGAAATTGGGGAAAATATCACTGCCTCATTTGCATTTTGGAAGTATAGTGATATTTAAGCAGATTTTGTTTTATATTTAAACTGTACTCGGTCTTGAGCAAGACAAGTGGTGTAGAAATCAGGAAAAAATCATATTCTAATTTGTTGCAATTGTCTTTCAAAAATTGTTGAAAATAACTTTTACATTTGCTATCATCAACATTTTGGGAATGATATGAAGAGTATTTACTGTATAACAGCTGTAGACTCATTAAGCTTTTTTTTTTTTTTGAAGCCGGAGATGTGTAAAACGAGCAGGACCCACTCCGGAATTCGAACTGCAGACCTTCCGACTGCTAGCCGGACGTACTATTCAGTTACATCACGAAGGCCCGTGGCAGTGAAGGAGAAAATACCTTTCACAATAATGGCAAAATGCTTTTTTTTTTTTTTAATATTCTCAAGAATACAAAATTATGTAAGAGTTTAAGAAAGAAAAAACTCCATTTTGATTTATCATTATCTTCATTTCATATAAGAATACCAGAGCTTAAGAAAATTAAAAATATTTTATAATAGCAATAGATATTATAGAAATGAATTTTCAAATATACGTACGTATGAAATCAACGCTTTTAGGAATTTCAGAAGACTTTGATTGTACTCTTTATATTTTTACGGTCCATTATTTTTTAATACATATTATCAGACCTGGATGTTTCAGAATTTATTGCTGAGAGTATTTTACAGCTTTTGTGGAAAATGTATTCAGAACTTTTAAGTGTTTTATGTTTTGAATTATTTCTCAAAATAATTCAACAATGATAAATTATTCAAAATATTTCAGTTACAAATTTAGTGCTTTAGGATCATCGATTTGTTATGCTACAATTAAGTGAACTTCCTAAGACTCAGTTTCAGCAATTTTGATCTTCGTTGAGATGCCATTTGGAGACTATAACTTCTGTGTTTAAGAATTACTTATATCTAGAAATCCGGATCCATTTTGAGATGGTTAGTACATCTAGCCTTAACCAAGAGAGTCTCTGTATATTAAGTGAGCTATTTCTGGCTAGCTTATCTAATCCTACTCCTAGATATTTGTGTGTGGTTACTAAAGACCAGTTTATGCACGAAATCCTTATGTGTTGATTTACTTCTACAAAACAGCCTTCTTTTTTCTTTTTTTTCCTTCTGAGAAAGAAAACTTTGCATATGATATATATATATAAGCATTGAATTGTATACGCTTTATATGCAGTACACTGGCAAAAAAAAAAAAAAAAAAAAACAGTTTGTTATTCATATCTGAAATGTGTTCAATACTATATTATCTTCCTGTTATTTAGAAAAACTACTTAAGTAAATTTAATAAAATGCAGATTTCGCCTATAAATGTAATCAAAACCTGCTATGTATTTGTTTTAAATTAGCTTGTTTTTCTATTAATTGTAAGTTTTAATTTTTCAGGAGTTAGAAAAGATTCATTATACACAAAGAGGAAAGCTACGTAAGTTACAAGAAACAAATAAGTACCTTAGAAAAGAAATGCGAAAACTTCAAAATAGTACTAATGTTCTCATCATTAATAATAATGAACAGTGTGTTGAAAGCAAGAATTTGAGGATGACATCAGTCCTTGCTAATCCTCATACTGAAGAAAAGGAAAAAGAAATTGCAACTGATGACAAAACAGAAAGCAAACTAGTTATTCATTCAGAGCAAGATGATGGTGTACTTGTAGCAGAAAAGCAAGATACAATTGTCTTAGCGGCCAGCCCTACCCTGCCAAAGCAGTCCCCTAATGTAGAAGCTGAACCTCTTGGAAAATGAACCTTTTGCTGATTTCTATGGTGCTCATTCAATTTCAGAGGCAAGATATTTGCCTTTTGTTAAAAGTTGTGATCAGTTCTTTTTCCAGTGTTCCCTATGAAGTACAAGTGGCTTTTATAGTCATTGTCGTCATGCACAGTGGCTGTGAGCCAAAATTGCAGTCATTTATGCGAGTGCCAGTGCTAACATTCATCATTCTTTCCAAGGTTTTATGTTATCATGTATTTAAAGAAAACAGTTAAAATATTATGACGAAAAGGGGAAGTACCTGCATTTTTTTCAAAAAATTTTGTAATATATTGTTTTCTGTTGAATTTGAAAATGAACTCCCACCTTGCTTTTTTTTTTTTTTTTTTTTGTGTGTGTGCGTGTGTGTGTGTGTTGTAATTCTTAGAAAATTAATTTGTAATACTTTTTCATGAATCATTTGACACTCTCCCTCGTGTAATCATATTTTTTCTCCCTTTAAAAATCTTAAAAACAAAAAAAAAAAAAAAAAAAATGTCCTGTGTCATTGCTTAATGTATACATAAATGTGTAAAGTGATGTAATGTTTAACAATTTAAATACAGGCTTTTAATAATTGTCTTTTGCCTATGGCTGTTTCCTCTGTATAAATCAAATAAGAAGCCTTCTTGACTTAACACTATTGTTAAACATTGTTCAATTTTACATATTTATGCTTAACATAAAGTTATGGTACTTTCTAACTGTCTGCACCCCTACCAAAAAGTTGTGAATTTTTTTGTGATTAATTTATTGGAAACTAATACTTAGCCATTTTCAAAATGGTGGTGCACTAAGAATTAGATACAAGAATACTCAGTCAATAAAATTAAAAATATAAAAACCATCTAACCTTTTTCGAGAAATCTTTCGTTTTTGCACTATTGTTCTTCCCATGTACACAGCAACCTGTTTCCACTCAAAAAACATCAGAGAATTACACGAACAAAACAGGTATGTTCTACATACAAACCTGGATTGCCACATGAATACTCTTTGGCAGTATTATGGATTTGCCACATAACTATTTTGGTGACATACTGCTTTGCCTCATGAATACTTTTCATTGGGGGTGCAGATAATCAGAAAGTGTCAAAGTTATTTACTTATACACTTCTATGCATTTATTATGACTAATATAAACTTTTTAAAAGGTGATCTAAATTCTGGTACATTTAAAATGCTAATGCTTTGAAATTAAGTGAGATTTTTATCACCTAGTGTATTAAACGTTCAAACTACTTTTAAAAGTTTCTACTAGTCGTAAAAAGTATTTTCTATTATTGAATTGTTCAGATGTTTTATTCTCGTTTATGAAATACCTGAGTATACAGCGTCCAAATTTCAAGTATCCATTGCTTTACATTGCATGCATGTTAAAAATGTATTTACAGTCTGTTTTTTTGGGGGGAGAGGGTTGATTTTAAAATTATTTGTGGTATACTACCTGATTATAAATTATACAGTTGTTATATTTAAACTATTGGCTTGCATTGTATTATCCTTTGAACTTCAGGACTGTCAATTGATTAATATATTTATTCAAATGCTTCATATAAAAAATATTGATTTGCTGTAATGTCATAAAGTACCCTTGAAAAAAATGTGCTCTTATTATTTAGTAATGAATTATGCATGAATCACCGTGATTAAAAATTTTCGGGATAAAATATTTAAAAAAAATTCATATAGTCATAATTTGAGAGAATCACTGTGATTAAAAATTTTCAGGATAAAATATTAAAAAAATTTGATATAGTCATAATTTGAGTGTTAATAATAATTGTAGTATAATTTTGCATTGATTTATTTTTATCTTAATTAAAAAAATTGCTGCAACAATTGGTTTACTATAATTTGAGTTTTTTAACTGTTTGAAAATAACATGCAAATGAATTTGTCTTATATTTAAAAAAAAAAAAATTGTTTGTATCATGCTCAACTATGTGAATATATAATTTTTTTATTCAGTTTAAAATTGTATTTGTAACCACAAGCTTATGTTTAGCTTAAAGATTAGGTTACCTTACTTAAATATAGCAAAGCACATGAGACTATCTGCCTAAGGAAAGGGATGCCTTTGTGAAAGACTTTCTAAGGAAAATTGGCTCATATTCACATTATATATGAGGAAAACCAACCAATTCATCCACACTTGAACCAGGTCAAACTACCAGTATGCAAATTGTTGAGGCTGAAAGTACATTTTTATAATTCTTAATGTTAATGAAATAATTCTGTGAAATATTATTTAGTACTACATTTTTGCAACAAATAAACAAAAGCAAAGGCATTTTAAAAATTTGGTTGTACTCAGTACACAGAAGCGAACAATGGCATAACTGGGCGGTCAAGGGAAAACATGTATACCTGGTTCACAACATCCAGGGGGCAGCAAATAGATGCTACAGAACTTTAGAATAAAGTGTTTTCTATTCTTAGCAAACAGCATGGGATGTGAAATCTTCAGCTGTCCCCAGACACTGAAAACCCTAGGTGGTGAAAGTTCCTCTTTCTTTCTGTATTTGTCAAAATATAAAGAGACTCTGGAGGTGAAAGTTTCTTGCATTTATGAACAGTTTTTTTCAGTGCCATTTTCAGCAAATTGACATTCTTAGATCCTGCACTGTAATTTTTAATCTATAGTTTTTGATTTAGTGTATAGTTTTTGATAGCAGAAAAAAAGAAGGCATGTTAGAGGTAAAAGGAAATATTAGTCACTAAAATTTAACATTTAAGTCTAATCTGCTTTACTGATCAAGGCTTCATTGATTATAAAGAGTTGAATATCTTAATTTTAAACTTGTATAAATCAAGAATTTTTTTAGATAAAAATCTGCTGTGTTTTAAACTTTTCTAGCCAATCATTGCATTTTCCATCTTAATAAGAACGAATTAAAAAATCCCTTATTTCATATATAACAAGCTACCAAATTTCATATATAACCAGATAAACTTGCATTAAAGCAAAGGATACTTGATTATTCCTGTATACCATTTTAGAATTACCTCATTTTTAAAATTTTTTTTCATATTTAATTTCAAATTAAATATATGTCAGTTGTTTTAAAAAATTAAAAAAAAATGTACATAAAGCATTTCACAGGAATATATTTAAGTTGATGGGTAAACAAGTTTCTATATTTGTCAAAATATTGTAAATTTGTTCAACTTGTCAGGCAAGGGCATGTTGTGAATGATTAGGTTTGTTTTCATGGTTTCATACTTATGTTTTGAGAAATGTGAAATGCCAA